AGGGGGGGCCTGGAGCAAAGTCAGGTGGAGGCTGGGCTGGGGTAGGCAACAGAGCCCTGGCAGGTTTTGTGTCATTGTGCTACTGTGCATTCCACCCCACGGTCCAGGTGGCTGGATTCTGTTCAAGGGAGCATGTGTGGAATGTATGATAGACCCTGACCAAGCAGACCTTTGCAGAAGCCCATTAACATTCTATAAATGGCAACAACTAGCACAACAACAAGGACATGAATATTAACATGGTAGTCTAAGGTTCTGGCTCTCCCTTCCCTGCTTCCTTTAGCTGATCTAAACACTATCCCCAGACAGTTTCATTTTTGACCATACAGAGTGTAAATCATCTTCAGACTTGGATTTCTATCTCTCTTACACTCTGGGTTTTTTTAATTTTATTTTTTTTAAACCCAGCGGTAAGACTAAGACTCCGTTTTGAGGTGAGTTCTCTGGAGAAAAATTACAGAAGAGAAAAATATCCATCTGCCATGAAATGGCTTTTTTAAAGTATCAATTCCAGTTATGCTCCTTGCCTACTGGAATGTTCAGTGTTTCCACAAGAAAAAGTTCAAACCCATGTGCAGGTCCTATGAGGCCTTAACTCTCAGGTTCCAACTTACCTCATCTCCTGTTACTACCTACTATGAGCCAGGCACACTTGGTTGCTTACTCGTCCCAGATAGCCACTGTCCTTCCCGTCCGTACACTGAATACTCTGTTCCCTTTGCCTCCAGTGCTCTTCCCAGTCCTCTTTGCTGCTGAGAACTCCTTTGGAAAGCCTATGCTCATTCAAAGGACCCTGCTAGGGGATGCCTTCCCTAGCTCCCTCCGGCAAAGGGTTGATCCTTCCTCTGCGCCACTCCCATCCCTAGATCTATTGTGACATTGTTCACACTGCCCTGCGCATGATGCTGTTCTATCAGTTCTTTTCTCATAAGCCTTGATTGTGAAAGGAGAGGGGCTCCATCTTGATCGTATTTGTTGAATTCTTATATCATTTTCCTTCCTCTTTTCTTCTCTTCCCTCTCTCAAAGATTACAAAACAATTAGGCCATAGCTGGGGTCCAAAGGACATTTTACTCAATGTATATGCCTTCAGGCACTGTTATATGCCTTAAATCACTGCCTTTGCCTTCAGGATTGGCTACAGGGGACAAGAGAAATTCGAAGCAGGCGATAATTATTGATTGGGATTTTACATTCTAAGCCATCCCCCTGCAAGGGTTTGTTTTTCTTTTCACAGGAAATCTGAAGCAGGGGGTTGTTTTAGAGCCACCTCCTCCTCAGGTAAATTTAAGGGTTTTCTCCTAAACAAGTTCACATCTGCTATCTCCACGATGCCCCTGGAGAACACACATTTTCATTTGGCCAAGTTTGAGAGTGGGTACATGAGAGGTTTATTTAGAAATAAGGATGTAATAAGGGCAGAAGATTAGCAATGTCTGCATGCAGAGTACAAGCATTCTTCCTTTTTATGGAAACATTCAATTTATCCAAATACAAAAGAGGCATTTTGTTTCGCTAAGTCTTTTAGTACCCCTGCCCCAAATGAGTTGTTGTACGGAAAGGAGACTAGATTAGTCGCCTTTGAGAACTGCAGTCTAATTATTCACATGGGGTCATGTTCTGCTAAGAGACAGATGCTGCCTTCCTATAACCTTACCCAGGACACAAGGAAATGGGGTTGGAAGTTTGTAGGTTATCATTTTTAAGACAGTCATAGAGATGGTAACAGATTCTATTTAACATATTTGGGGGTCTTACCTGGGGAGAGGGGAGTGAGAATATGATATGCAAAAAAGTCAAGTTCAGTGTGTCATTAATTCTAAACTTATTTCCTGTTTAACACACTAAAGAGGAGAGATTTAGGTCAATGTTTTTCAATCCCATGTACTTCCGTTTGCATGTAAGATAGGACCTACCCAAAGCAAGTAGTGAGAAGGTACAAAACACCAATTAGTAAAGGATCCCTAACTTCATGAAATCCTTGACTTTCTAGACTGCCCAAAAGGGCCAGGACTAGGGCGAGCAAATCAAACACCTGGCTTGAGTACAAAATTTAAGGGGTGCCAATGCAGTCAGTAATATAAATAACATTTTAGTGCAATATTTAAAATTATTTAAAATTTGGATTTTATGTTCATCTTGGATTTTGACATTAATTTTTACTTGTAAAAATATTGCATTTAGGTACAGAGTCGTGGCTCATGCCTGTAATCCTAGCACTTTGGGAGGATGAGGAGGCAGGAGGATCACTTGAGGCCAGGAGTTTGAGACCAGCCTGGGCAAGAGCGAGACCCTCTCTCTACAGAAAATAGAAAAATCAGTGAGGTGTAGTGGTGTGCTTGTAGTCCCAGCTACTCGGGAGGCTGAAGCAGGAGGATCTGGAGGAGGCTGAAGCCCAGGAGTTTGAGGTTGCAGTGAGCTATGATGATGCCACTGCACTCTAGTCAGGGCAACAGAGTGAGATCTTGTCTCGAAAAAAAAAATGCATTTGTCTTGATTAGTGAGTTTATTGATACCCTTTAATTTTTGCCCCTTTGAAAAGTATCTCACTCAACTCATATCATTGCTGGCCCTACCTTACAAATGCATTTCAGAAGATCGAGTGCTATTTGCCATTCCCTTCCATCGCATGCTGGTGAAGGGAGAAAAGGCTTCTTAAGAATACAATGGTGGAAGCAGCAAGGAGAGAAAAATTCTAATGATCAAGGAAATAAAAATCAAACAGCAAGGAGATATCCCTGATTATACTTTGTCAAACTGACATATTTTAACATATCACACTTCCAGCTAGTGGCAGTGGCCATGTAAGGCACAACTTACAAAATCTTGACTGTTTACATGTGAATTAACTCAATTGCCCCTGGGACTGTTATCTTAGCACCATCCCTATTCAGCTGCCCTATTCTACAGGGCGGGCCGGGAGAAATGACCATACCAGTAAGCTCCAGGGTGACTGCAGGCATCGACTTTGTGTGCTCTTCTGAGACGAGAGCATCTGCCACAATGGCCTCGGGAATTTTCTGATCATTTTGGGGACCTGTGTGCTGCACTTGATAGTCTGTCGTTCCGGGGCACTGCCTCTCGCTTGCCTTTAAGCCTTTTAAGCCTTTAAGCCACAGGCAATGATAACCTTTTCCATTGAGGAAAAGGTGATCGGGAGGCGGACTTTAAATTTTGGTCTGCACTAGCCAGACCTGCCAGATGAACGCTCAGCTTTCCACCGTACCTACAAATTCCCTGACTTGACTTGGCATACGGGTGACGGCGGAGGTTTGCTTTCCATCTGCACAACGCCCCAGGTTCCAGGTTGCAGAGACGACCTCTTCCCCGCGCAACCCTCACTGGTGTCCCAGCTGGGCCGCGGCCCCGCCCTCCCAGGTTCCCAGTCCCCGGGCGTGGGGCAGTCCCTCTCCAGCCCGCCTTCCCCGTCCCGGCTCCCCGCGGAGGAAATTCTTCCCCAGCAGCCCAGGGCTCGCCTCACGTGACCAGCCGCCGCCGCGGCTTCCAGCAGGAGTTTAAAGGTTACGGAGGAAATTAGCATGGGCACAGCCACTCGCCCCCGAAGGGCGCGCCCCATTTTCCCCGCAGCCCGGACGGCGGCTGTCAGCGCGCTGATGAGAGCCGATGTCCCCCAAAGGGGCACAGTCAAGGTCCAGCTTAAATAGGAAAAGTCACTTTGTAAAAAAATAAACAGACACACAAACCCAGCCGGAGTTCTACCAACTTGTCAACAAGTTCTCGCAGCCTGAGAAGTCCACGACAGATCCCAAAGGGGAGAACGTCCCGAAAGAAAGGGAGGAGAGAATAATCATGTTTAAAAACCCACTCCGAGCCTTGCTCGTCTCTCCCTCTTCCCCTCCCCCACCGCCGCGGAGCAGAGCGTCGGGAGACAGAACGACAGGCCAATACTCTGCAGGCTGCTCTTTCGGGCCACTGCCCGAGTGGGGCTGGGCTGGGGGAGGGTCCCGCGTCCCCCCGCCACACCTCTACCCCGGGCATTAAAAGACGATGTTGGCCGCAGAGTCCCCGAGAGATGCGCAGCCCGCTGGCCTCCCGGTGGAGACCAAAGACAACGTATCCACAGCCCTCTGCACTCGCGCCCCCGCCCAACACCGCCACTCCCCGGGTCCCGCGCCGGGTCCCTGCCCCGCTCGCCCGCCCGCCGCCGCGACCCGGGCAGCCTCGCCCGCACTCAGCCGTTCTCTCCTCGGCTCACTTTTTCCGTATTGCTCCCCCAACCGGCAAAACTTTCTATTTCCCTAAACCCTGGCGCGCGCGCGCGCGCGTGCACACACACACACACACACACACACACACACACACACACTGACGTCTTTTGCGCATTTCCTGCATTAGAGGGAGGGCGATCGCTCGCACACCGACCGAGGGAGAGGAGAGCGCGGGGGAGAGCGGGCTGGCGGGCGGCGAGCGAGCGGCAGCCGAGAGCTGGGACGCGGCGAGCGCGGCGGGCGGGCGCCGGCGTCCAGGAGGTGGGGCCGCGCCGAGCCGTCGTCCCGGCCCCGCCGCCGCGCTGCGCACCGCCCGGTGCCGGCCTGCCCGGAGCCCGAGCGGCGGCCACCCCGACTCCTGAGCCCGCGCGGATGTGAGATTCCGGGCTCCTGGCGCCTCCCGATCGCCGGCTCCGGCGCGGCGCTGCTTCGCCCAGGAGGCGGCGGCCCGGGCAGGCTGTGTGGCTTGTGGATTTTTAAAAATTTGGCTCCGAGGAGGACCATTTCCTCTCGACATGCATCCCTCCGGATAGACTGAACATCCTTCGGTCCACCCCCCGCCCCGCGCGGTCAGAGGCAGGCGCTGGGTGTGCGAAGAGGATCCGGGTTGAAATCTGCGCCCCCGGTTCTCGTCCCCGCCCCGTCCCACCGCCCCCTCCCGCTCCCGGAATCGAAATTTCCCGGGATTATGTTTCGGAAAGGTAGGTAAGCGCCGGGCGCGGCGCCCGCTTCCCCGCAGCCCGGAGCCGGAGAGCCAGCGAGGCGGAGAGGCAGCCCCCGCGGTTGCAGCCGAGCCGACAGCTCTTCTCTTCTGAAGGTGCCGCTGGTGGTAGGGGGGGAGAGACTTGCTCCAAACACGGACGTCCCCCAGCTCTCCCCCCCTCCCTGTTTTCCGTTAGGAACCCGGCGAGGAAATACATGCACTCGCTGACAATCGCCCGCTCCAGGGCGCAACGCCACAAGGTGTAGGGAGTGTGTGGGGTGGGGCGAAAGGGGACCCAGGGGTCCCCGTGGCTTGGAGCGCCGGGCCGTCGGTTCTTCATTCCTGCCCTCGGGGCGGACAGTGACCCCGGCCCCCAGTCCCCGCCCCGACCATGGTAGTGTTCAATGGCCTTCTTAAGATCAAAATCTGCGAGGCCGTGAGCTTGAAGCCCACAGCCTGGTCGCTGCGCCATGCGGTGGGACCCCGGCCGCAGACTTTCCTTCTCGACCCCTACATTGCTCTCAACGTGGACGACTCGCGCATCGGCCAAACGGCCACCAAGCAGAAGACCAATAGCCCGGCCTGGCACGACGAGTTCGTCACCGATGTGTGCAACGGGCGCAAGATCGAGCTGGCGGTCTTTCACGATGCCCCCATCGGCTACGACGACTTCGTGGCCAACTGCACCATCCAGTTCGAGGAGCTGCTGCAGAACGGGAGCCGCCACTTCGAGGACTGGGTGAGTTCGGCGCCTCCGGTTCTTTCTGGGAACCCGGTTGTGGGGTCTCTGGGAAAGACTCGCTGGCCTTGGTCGTGGGGCTCGGGGACTTACTGACGACTGTGGGGTGTGTGCATGTAAGTCTCCGTTTCCTTGGGGAGGCACACTTCACTTCGTAGCTGGGGAGAAATAGGCATTGGGGCGAGGAAGATGAGACTTAGAGAGTATGGCCCTGTGCCCCCTCCGTGCCCTCCAGACAGCGGGCGCTGCAGGGGCTGGCAAGCAAGGAGAGCCCGGTCTCTGGTGCTGAAGGCTGGCCGAGGACCCGGCGTCTTCCGCAGGCGCGTGGTGGGCAGGCTGTGTGTGATCGTGTGTGGGTGGGTCCCTCCGTCCTTGGAGAGGCACGTGGAGCCTTAGACTGAAGGCTTCTTGCATGTCCTGGCTTTGTCCTGCGTAGCCAAGTGAGGAGTCACTTTATTTTTCCCTCCTGGAGGAAGCTTGCTTGTTTCCATTCTGCTCCTTGGTGGTTAGCTCATCTTCTGACATCCAAGAAGAAAAAATGTGTTCTCCAAAATGTCCCCTCTAGGGTCCCAGAAACATCAGTTGAGCTTGTTTTTCCTAATTCATTGCCCATCCATCCAGAATGAATCTGGTATTTTAAAAAAACGGTTTTGCTTGTGGGTAATTGGAAGTCAGTGCTTTGAATCTGAAAGTTATATTGTTTCTCTGTTTTGATTGTCAAGATACTGTGCAATGAAATGCTATTTCTAAATCTGAGATTGAGTTAATTGTTAAATGATTACATTGTAAAAATATTAGGGAGTTGGAAACAGGCCTTGTTGAGATGTGCTATAAACCAAATGCATTCAACCTTGGCACTTGGACAGAGAGAAGCAAGCTTGTATTTTAGCTGTTCTTGGAGGGAAAGTGTTAAATTAGGAAACGGATTTCTATATTTTCAGGTTTGTTACATGTTTCCACCAATAGCAAGTGTTGCTCTGGATGCATATATTTTCAGGTTCTTTGGTATACACAGAAAGAGAGAGAGAGAAATAGCTGAGTTTCATGAAGAGATGTAAAGGGATCGCTATCTATTGAAAACCAGATAACTTCATGAGTGTTCTGGGGGTCAGGGGTTGTGTACGAATCACCTTGGCATATCACCCTACATATTTTTTCAAGGACACGAAGGTTTAAGGAAAAATAGGAAAAAGCCTGTTCTTTTTATGCTCACGGCTGTGATGTAGTCTGCCTGAAACCATGGTTACAGGGCTCACAGGGAAGCTCCAACAAGCCACAGGAGTACAACTCCAGGAGATGTGTGGCTTGCACTTTGGGAAGCGAGCAAACCTTTATGGAATCCCAAAGAACTCAGTGCCATTCCATTCCATTTCACAGATGCCCCTCACCTCCGCCTCTCTCCTCCCACCAGAGTTCCTACTCATTCCCTGCTTCCTTTCCACACGTGGCCTTTCGGCCTTTTACTCGTGGAAGCTGTGCATGTCCTGGGGGGTGGAGGCAGAAGGGATAACTAATTTCAGAGTCCAGAGTGCTCACCATTACACCATGGAACCTTAGGGATAACTTATTTCAGAGCCAGATCTAAAAACCTGTCATTTTTTTTTTTTTTTTTTTTTGAGACAGGGTCTCACTCTGTTGCCTGGGGTAGAGTGTGGTGGCATCATCATAGCATACTGCAGCCTCCAACTCCTGGGCTCAAGCGATCGTCCTGCCTCAACTTCCCAAGTAGCTGGGACTATAGGCACAAACCACCAAGCCCAGTTAATTTTCCTGTTTTTTGTAAAGATGGGCTCTCCCCGTTGCCCTGGCTGGTCTCAGACTTCTGGCATCAAGTGATCCTCCCACCTCCTCAGCCTCCCAAAGTGTTAGGATTATAGGCGTGAGCCACTGAAACTGGCCAGAATCTGTGATTTTAAAGTTGTTGTTGTTGAACAGAAAGAGGAAGAAAACAACTTGACTATGGTAGCTAGGATATGGGGTCTTGTGCAGTGTGTGCAGAGGAGGGGCTTGGACGGGGGGCAGAGCAGAGAAGACGAACGGCAGGACTGCATTTTTCCACAGAATGCGTGTCAGCTGGAGGAAGAGTGTTTGTGTGTCTCTGGTGCTGCTTTGCTGGGGTCTACCCCAAACTCTGGGCACTTCAGCACTTCTGGTGAAGCCTGTAGTGGTAACTACTTACTTGGTTATCATTCTCTAAGGTTCTCAAATTCATGCTGGACTTGGCCCTAGACCAGATCATCTAGTGCATGGGCAAGTTTTGCAGATGAGGACAGTGAGTTCCAGAGAAGCTAAGTGGGCACCCAACGTCACACGACCAGCACAGGTGGGTTGGAAGTAGGGCCCTCACCTCCTATTGTCCACCACTTGTCAGGGAGGGGGAGGTAAACAGAGCCACCAGATTCATGTGCTGTGTCCCTGACATTTTTATTGTGTGTGATAACTTAAAGTGCTTTCAAAATCATTATCTCTTTTGCCTTATAGCAAGTGTGAATTAGGTATGACAGCTATTGGACAGATTAAAAAACGTCAGACACAGAGAAGCCCAAAGTCAAAGGAGAAATCAAGTAGTGGAGCTGCTTCTGATTGCTCATCTAGGTGGTTTTCACGAGAGGATGCTGCGGCCACTCTGGTTCCCCCAGACTGAACGTGGGGATGCATCGGCACAGGTGACTGGCCCTTTGAAACAGAGACAAGTTGCAGCTGGGCTAAGTTCACCTTTCTCAGTCCCATAATCCGGGGTACACCCACAGATTCACTGCTTTTGGTAGAATTGCCTGGGCTCAGGCCTCTGCTTCCTTACATGGCGGCAATGGAGAGACACACCCTTTCTCAGGTGTAGCTGAGAAGTCGGGCGTGAAGTAAGGCGATGTGGAGAGCAAGAAGCCGCTGCTTCTCTCATTGCTGCAGGACATGGAATTCAACTGCACTCGGAATTCACATGTATTCACGGAGCTTCTGTTCCGTGCTCATGTCCAACCAGAGAAGCGTAGCACTGTAGGCAATCCAGAGGTAGAAGAGGCTGTGGGTTACTCTCAAAGGGCTTCCATTTCACTAGAGAAATGACACTAAGCAGATTCATGTAGACACTTACGTAGCAATTAGGTTCCAAATGAGCACTACCATAAATATGTTAAGAGTTCAAAAAGGGAGTGTGCTAGGAGAGCCAGAAGAATCCAGGAGGGTTCCTGGGAGGAGGCATGACCTGGGTGTGCAACGGTAGGTAACATTTAAGGAAGCACCTATAAGAGAGGACAGTGTTCTGGGCATGGACACTGCTGGAATAAAGACAGAGAATGCCCGTGGTCAGGGCTGGAGAATGGATAATTAGGGCTGAAACCAAGGGTACTTATTAGGAAGGACAAGGCAGGCTAAGGTTTCCCAAATTTAAGACTTTTATCTGAGCACTGCCTGTGTGATTATTTACTTAATGTTTTAAAAAATTGATTCTTTTTTTCCACTTAGTCTTTTTTTAATCCCCACTATGCATGAAATCACAGTTTTGGTTATTATAGTTACAATTTTTCTTTATCCTATTAAAATAAACATGGTTCTAAAATAAAAAGTTCATTCTAGGTGCCTCTTAACATCATTAGTTACGTGGAAGCACACCTTTGAAACACTGGAGTGGGAGAAAGTTTAGAAAACTGAGGTGGATTCTAGAATGTGTAAAAGCCTGGCTAATTATGCTCCAGATAATGAGAGACGTTTCAGTTGTGATGACAAAGGGGATTGCTTTAGAGAAAGCTCATTACAAAGAGGAGGAAAGGTTTTGCTGGTGCTTGAAGCAGAATCCATTATAACACTATTGCTATAGCTAGGGCTTCCAAGAACCACATAATAATACCCCTCAGGCTTTGGTGTGCGTAAGAATCACACCAGTGATAAAGATATAGATCCTCTGTCTCCACCTTTGGAGCTTTTGATGCTGTGGTTTGGGATAAGCTAAATGCTGGGAATCTGCATTTTTAATAAGCTGTCCTGGAGATTCTGGCTTCCTTTGAGAAACTTCGGGCTGGAATAGAAATTGCAGGCAGGAGAAGGTTCCAGGTAATTAATGGATCAAACTTTCATACATAGATATGTCCTGAAATTTTATTGTAGAACTTTATAATTCTTAAAGCAAGATTTGTAAGGATAATCATGTGAACTAGAAGTATTGGGATTCATGTTAGAACCAGAGGCCGGATAAAGGCTGGATGGAGTGGCATTGCATTTAGGACAGGGGTAGGGAGGCCGGGCTTTGAGGGCTGCCTGCAGGTCACAGCTGGCCGTCTGTTCACACTCTGGATTTTGCCCTATCGTTGCCCCAATAGTCTAGATACCCAGCTCAGTTCCCCTTTTGTTCTACTGCCCTACCTCTGAAGACATCTTTGGTTTGTGTCCCTCCCTTGCTTTGTCCTGTAGAAGAGGCACTCCTAATACAATGGTAATGATAGAAAGTCATCTTTTGAGAGGCACTTCCCCAGAGCGGTTAAGGGGATAGCTCAGGCTGCTGGGGCTTGAATTCTACCACTACCACCTACCACTTTCATGACTTTTAGTGAGAAACTTAACCTTTCTGTTTCTTCTTCTGTAAAAAGTGGGTGATAGTAAATGTACCTGCCTATAATGAAATGGCGTTGTTGTGGGGATTAAATGTGTTAATACGCATAGAGTGCATGGACTAATGCCTGGCCCTTAGTAACTGCTCAATGAATGTTTAACTACTGCAATTATTATTGTCATATTCCCTAAACCTAGCATGGGGCCAGCCCTGGAGAGGGTTTTTTACTGAGCTGATTATTATACAGGTCCTGAAGAAGCCAATTTTTCACGGGCTCCAGAATAGTTCACTTCAGTCTGGTGGTCTCATTTGGCAATGAATGGGACACTAGAAGTGTTTACGTTTTTCCAAAGTAGCCCATTGACGGGCTTTTCCAAAGTAGCCCATTGACGGGCTTTTCTTCCAAAGTATCATACCCCTGCTGACCCTGGGAGATAGGCCTGTATCTGGATTGGAG